AAAAAAAAAAAAAAAAAAAAAAAAAAAAACTTGCACAATACTTCAGAACAACGACGGCGAGAGTTCTCCCTTCGACTAGGCTTGCGTTTGTCTTACTTTTCTTCCCGCATTAGGATTTTTTTCTTTTTTCTTTTTTCTTTTTTTTTCCTTTGTTTCTTGAAAAATTACACTTCTGGCCCAAATAGTTTTTAAGTTTAGAAATTTGACCTACATTTTACAATTAATTTTAAACAGCTGCACCTTAATATATAAATATATTTTCAAAGGAGAGACTTTCATTATTTTATTTTGTTTCATTATTAATTACTTCAAAAATTAAGTACTTTTTTTTTTCTTTTGCTGTTTTTCTTAAATTTAAAAATCACGTTCTCGATTAATTTTATATTTTGTTTTTTTTTTATTGTATATTACAATAAATGGATAATATATTTTAATAATTAATTATAGAGTATATCTTAGATATCTGTAATCCGTTAATATCTTTTCTATCTTAGGATTTGATTAGCATTATATTTTATCTGTTTTACCAGATTTAGTTAGATATATATTTTTTCTCATTTTTTTTTATATTAGTGGATAGTTTGTATCTTATTGTAAACATTGATGAGATCATACTTTCTATCTCAATTCTATTTCTATTTCTCATTCTTAACAAACAAATCGATACTGAATTAAATTGTAGAAAATGTTGCTGGTATCTTCAAATGATAAAATATCATTAATACTTTCGACCCTTAAACAAAGACAAAGTTTTAGATGAAAATCATTTACTAATCTCCGTTTGAGGTATTCACCCGTTGGTGTGGGGTTAGAAAAATATTTTTAGACCAATTCGAAATTTTGGGTTAGTTGAGTTGACGACTTGATTAACCCGAATAGATTTCACAACCCAACACAATTTAATCAAAAATTATACTTATCCCTAATACAAATTATATTAATAACTAAAATGTGATCGAAATTCAAATATTTACCTGTGACAACTTAACACTAGCATTGATTACAAATCATTATGTAATGTTTCCATATTGGTTGGGGAGGAAAACAAAACATTTTTATAAGGGTGTGAGAACCTTCCCCTAACATATGCGTTTTAAAAGCCGCAAAGAGGACAATATCACGGTGGATTTGGGGCGTTACTAATGGTATTAGAGCTAGACATCAAACGACGTGATAGCCTTCTTGTTGTTCCCCGAATGGTGGTAGACACGAGACGGTGTGCTAGTAAGGACGTTTGGCCTCAAAGGGGAGTGAATTTGGTGACGGTCCCATATCGATTGGAGAAAGGAATGAGTACTTCCGAAAGGGGGAGGATTGTGATGTTCTATATTAATTGGGGAGCATAACAAAACACTCTTTATAAGGGTCGTTGGGTCTCGAAGGAGGGTGGATGTTCCCACATTGGTTGGGATGAGAACATAAAAACTTTTCCCTAGTAAACATATTTTAAAACTTTGAGGGGAAGCCCGAGAAAGTTGAAAGAGGACGATCTGGGGTGTTACACATTAAATATTTATAATGTTTTAAAAAGTAAGATGTGGTTGGAAAATGTCAACGGTCAAACCAAACCGAATTTCCAATTTTTTCAAAACTTAAAACATTAGAAATGTTGTATGTATCTAATGTAAGACCCGTCGATAAGCTAAGGCCACAACACGAAGGAAGACGAATCAGTGCATTCACTTTTTATTTCACCTTCACCCTCCCATGCACCTGGCTTAGGTGGGTCAAATCTCGCGACTAGCAGCAGCTTCTCGTTTTTAGGTCGGGATCCATATAGAAGACTAATTTTAAAAGGTTCTCGAAAACAATTTAGACCATGGAGGGTGACATATTCATTGATCACAAAGCTTGGAGGGCAAGATTAGCCATCATTTTAAGAAGAGGAAGAGGGCATTTAGTAAGAATATCAAGCTTAGACATAGGAGAGGCATGTCCAAAGAGTGCCAATCCCAACATACCCAACTCCCTAATAGACAACCTCGAAGACAAAAAGCCCTCCCAATAAAACCCTTCCAAATCAAAAAACGCATCAAAAAACCTCCTCAACCCTTCCAAATCAAGCCGCACCAACGTCTCCATCCCAAAGCAATAAAACTCCCTCACACGTCTCCTCTCCGCCGGCCACACCCCCTCCCAAACCCTCCCCTGCAGCGCCCTCCCTCTTATCATCCTCCCGCCGCTGCCTAGCCCCTCCGCCGCCCTTCTCGCAACCCCTGGCGCCGCTGCCATTCCCAAAACCACCGAGTACCCACTTGCCGGATGCACCATCCCTGCCACCCCACCTGCCGCCACCACTGCCTGAGGCATCTTCGGTAGAGAACCCCCCATCGGAATCACGCACTTCTCCTCTTCTAAGATTCTCTTTACCTTTATCCCCAAGTGCCGCAGTCTGGCTGCCATCCTCCTCTTCACCACCGCGTACGGCAGCGCTGGGCGGCCGACGAGGGAGGTCTCTTCCAGGAAGATTAGATTGGGATCGAATGGCATTGCGTAGAGGAATGTTGGGGATTTTTTGTTGTCTTGTCTCAGGTATGGCTCGTTCCCTAAATGGGTATCTCTCCAATCCATTAGAACCATCTTGTTTAGATCGAATGGGTGCTGTTCGACTTCCGCTAGAATTCCATGGGCGATTTGAAAGCCGCAGTTTCTTGGCTTCGATTTTGAATACTCTGTGAATCTGCTTGCGAACCCACTTGCGTCGATCACCAAATTCGCTTTGATTTCAGTTCCATCGTCGCAAGCCACTGATGATTCAAATTCTTGATGCTTAATTTCCCACACTTTGGCCTTATGGAACTTTACTCCTTTTGTTGCGCATTCCTCCATTAATTTCATCTTAAGTTTCTTCCTGCTCACCTGCGTTGAAAACCTATGAATAAAAGGGTCTATATTGATGGTTAGGAAGGATTGTTAGGATGGAGTAGCTCATTCCTGATAATGTGTTTACTGATAATGTGTTTACTGGGTAAGGAATACATCTACATTGTTACGAGGCCTTTTGGAGAACACAAAGCAAAGTCACGAGAGCTTATGCTAAAAGTGAACAATATTATACCATTGTGGAGGGTCGTGATTCATAACATGGTATCTGAATCATGTTCTTAACTTAGCTATGTCAATAGAATCCTCAAGTCTTGAACAAAATGTGTACTTTGTTCGAAGACTCCAGAGAAGAGGCTATTTGAGGGCTCCACAGGCCTCAGGGGAGCCTAAACAAAGGGTGTACTTTGTTCGAGGACTCTAGAGAAGTAGTCGAGCCTCGAGGACTCGAAAGGAGGAGTCGAGGCTCGATTAAAGGGAGGTTGTTCGAGGGCTCCATAGGCCTTTTGTTCAAGGATCCAGAGAAGGAGTCGAGACTTGATTAAAGAGAGGCTATTCGAGGGTTTCATAGGTCTCAGGAGAGGCTCAACAAAAGGTGTACTTTGTTCAATGACTCTAGAGAAGGAGTCAAGTCTCGATTACGAGGAGGCTATTTGAGGGCTCCATTAGGCCTCAGGGGAAGCTCAACAAGGGGTGTAATTTGTTCGAGTACTCTAGAGAAGGAGGCGAACCTTGATTTAGGGGAGGTTGTTCGAAGACTCCGCTCTATAATGTACTTTGTTTGAAGAGATGATTGTTGAGAGGGGATCTCATCTGAGTTAATTTAATGGTTGGGGAAGGAAGTTCCCGCTCAAATCAAAACCATAAGAGCACCATAATAGCTAAAGAGCTGGTACCCAAATAAGAGGTACCCAAATAAGAGCTAAAGAGCTTGTACCTAAATAGGTGGATATGGAGAATCCTAATATATAAGCTTAAATCATTGGGTTGAATGGTAAGCACCTGAGCGTAGGGGCGGTCCAGAAACTTGACTTTCTCGTCATTTAAATACACGGAAGCCATGGGCCAAGTCTTGTGGAAGCAATCCTGGAAACCCAAAGCCTGAAACTCATCCACCCAAACGCCGTAGTTATTGGGCCAAGGAGAAAGCGGGGAAGGGTCGACGCAGCAGACCTTGATTCCGTAGGCGGAGAGCTGCTCAGCGAGGCGGAGGCCGGCGGGGCCGGCGCCAACGACCACCGCGTCGAAGCGGCGGGGACGATCGGAGTAGGGATGAAACAGGGGAAGATCGAACTTGAGGGGCTGGGGTTTAGACTCGGGTTTAAGGTCGAGAAAGTTGGCGAATTTGCGGAGGGTGTAGTGGGGTTGGAAGTGGGTTCTGAATGGCGAGTGAATTGGGGAAGAGGGTATGTGGGGAAGAGAGAATGGTGAAAGAAGGGCATGGGAAATCGCCATTGAAATGGAATTGGAAGCTTTGGGAAGCTTTTCAGGGTATTATAATGGCGGAAATTTGTAGACAAAGTGGAATCCAGAGGTGGCACAACGGAAAAGATCCCATTTCGTATAAATATTTTATTATTATTATTATTATTTTTTAATTTGACAAACATTTTTAAACCTTTTTAAAAAATAATAATATAGATGTAACTGTTAATTATTGTGATTTCTTTTTTTAGTGTAATATTTATATCTCGGTGTTTATTTTTCGTTCTATTATTTTGGTATGCATGTACTGTTGAATCTTGGCACATGATAGTGGTAGCAAGAACAGTAAAAAATTGCACATTTAAAGCACTTGATGGATTTAGATAAGCACTTGTCTACCAAATTTCCTTTTCAAATTATTAACTCTAGTTCTTTTACTAACTAGAGTTTAGCTAACTAGGGTTACTTAACCAACCATGATAGTAAATCTAGGTTAAGAGTTAGATAGAGTAGTTAACTGTGGAAAGTGTTAGGATCGCTCGACAATGCACACACTCGATCTAGATGAACACAAAGAAAAAGAAAATGAAAGGAAAACTTTGGCTAAATGATTTGTATTGATGACGAAAGAATATATAGAATATAAAAAGTACATTTTCAAAACTGTATATAGCTTTTTACTATGTATAACCCGACTAAACTATAAATAACCAGACTCAACTTAACAGAAGTTGTTATATGGTTGGTTTTTATAGTTAATAGCTCGGTTGTTTATCCTTATCAACCTCTAATTTATATGCACAAACTTCTAAGAGCTATTCGTGTGATATGATAATCTGATTAACTCATGTCATCCAACCAAGCTATATAAAATTGGATTTGGGTTAGATTGAATTTTTAAAAAATGGAAAATTCAGGACTGATTCGAGTTAACATTTTTTATTGGGTCCAATCCAACCATCCTAAAATATAGGGTTATAAACCAATCTAATGTACTCTTGAGATCGTTATGAATATTGAGAATATTTGACATTTATGATACGTTGTAACTAATAAATATTTGGTATTCGAATTTTATAAAATTTTAGTCATTAATATAATGTAAAAAACTTACCATTCGCGAGGTCTAGTCATGTCCCAACACTTAATATGGGCAGTGTCTCAATTAATAAAGTTTATTTAATGATTTTTGGAAAAACATGAATTCGACTCTAAAATATCGATCAAAATTCAAAATTTTCAACGATGATTCACGAGTTTTGATAAAAAAAATTGGTTGAGATTATGAGTTTTGGCTAAAATTTTGGTCGAAATTCATCTAATTTCATTGAGATTGATCGGGATTCAAATATATATTTTTTAAATTTCACATTGATTAATAAAAAATAAAATCAACAAAATAACTCTCAAACAATAAAAATTTATTGTTTTGAGTTAAATATCAATTTGTATGATAATAAGGGTAAAAAAGTAATTTCACATAAAGAGAGCCATTTTTACAATAACCCATATTTTCTTCAACATTTGAGGCAAAATTACAGTTAACCTAGTGTACTGAGTATTTTGAAACAAAAATGGAGGCCATAGAAGAGGACCAGAGCGCCAAAATGGATCCTCCTTGTTCCCCTTCCGGCTGCAATCCTCCAGAGCCCCCCCTCTCGAAGAATGCAAGGAAGAAGCTACTGAAACAACAGCGTTACGAAGCGAAGAAAGCGGAGAAGAAAGCGCAGGAAAAAGAGCAGAAGAAGAAAGATATTGAGCGCAAACGGAAGGAATGGGAGGATACACTGGCGAGTGTTACGGAGGAGGAGAGAGCCAAGCTGATCGAGTCTCGGAGAAGCCTGAGGAAGGAGAGGATGGGGAAGAGGTCGGAGGAGAAGGAGAAGAAGATTGAGAGGCTCAACAGGGCTAAAGATTGTGGTCAGAAGATTATCATCGACCTTGAATTTTCTGATCTCATGACCCCCTCGGAGATTCACAGTCTTGTTCAGCAGGTTTTTTCTCTTGTTACTCACTTCATTTGGTTGATTTAGCTATTATTTGCGGTGCGAATACTGGATTGTTTTCTTGACTTTTAGGATGTCGTATATTTTAGAGGTTTGGTAAATGTTTCTAGTAGATGGAATGTAGAGCATCTTAGAAACGAAATTGATTGTTTCTTAGAAAACCATACATTTGAGTGAAGGGCTTCTTCTATGAGGTCACTTAAGAAGTGAAATTGAATGTGTTCTAGGAATACCATAGATTTGGGAGGTGCTTGAAACGTAGTTTCTAAGCCAAATAGTTTGAGAAGGAAAGCCTTGGCAGACTCAAATCTAGTTTTAGTAGTTGATTAAGTGACGATTGATTGTTTCTTGGAAGACAATCAAATGCCGCCTGAGTCAACACAAACGCATGACTTGAAGTGCTCCTCTACCTCTTCTTTATTTTTCTTTCCCACTTTTGTAGAACAATTGATCATTTTTGGTTTCTTGCAAGTGGCAAAAGATCCTTTCAGTATCCAAAAAAATGCAGCTACATTGGATTCTTCTTAAATCTCGTGTTGCAGTTAAGTGCATCAAACTACCCACCATTTGGTTATAAAGTGTGTCTTTCACCTTCTTTCTTCTTTCCTTCACGGTCTTGATTTAGTTCCAAGCCAGACTCAGTTCGAGTATGCATAGGATTGCACTTTGTTTGAAAAGCATTTAAAATTTCTTGCAACAAACCTTTGAAACTGTAAAGATTTTTTTGTACTATTTGGGAGGAAAAGAAAAAGCCTGTGGCTGTTTGTAATATTTCAATACCAAGGAAATAATACATACTTCAAGATCAGTTGTACGGAATTTAACTACCATAAACTTGTTAAATTTATTAAACATGCTCACATCGTTTCTAGTATTAGTAAGATCATCTACATATTAACAAACAATGAGTTCATTGCCTCCATCTCCAGGTTGTGTGAAAAGGTTATGCTCATAGTGATATTTCCTGAAAGCTATCTTTAAGAAATAAATACCAACAAAACTACAGGAAAGCTCTTGGAGGATGTTTTAGTCTATTACTTCTTAGAAACTTATACGCATTAACTCATCTCCAATCTTTTAACGTGGTGATGATTTCAGTTGGTTAATTTCTTTTATCCTTAATATGCATTCCACCTAGTGAAGCTCCCGCAAAATTTCCTTAGTGTAGGATAAATTTCCTTAGTGTAGGATAAATTTCCCTCACATTTTGACAATGAATGAAAGTTGTGTATGTAACATCTATCACGTGGGATATTGCATATTTGGATTTGAAAAATACTTGGCTTGCCTACACACCAGCTGCTGACGGTAGGATACCTTACTGCCTATGATGGTGTATTTTTAGTGGCTCAAAAAAGTTAAATGGAGTCTGCTTAACTATTAATGAAATAGAAAGAGACAATAAAAATGATCCATATTAGGAATTAGTTGGATATTTAATGACTAGTATGTAGGCAGATTTTGTTCTTTCGATCCATCTCCCACAAGGAGGAGTAGCTTGAGCTTCTACCGTGGGATCCTTATCCTTCATTTTCAACATTAGACTTATATATATGTGTGCGTGTGTGTGTGTGTGTATGCGAAACAACAATTTCTTCATGTCATTTATATACATACACACACACACACAAATATATATATGTATGTATAAATTACAAAAAGCACTTCCATTGGGCAACAAAAGAAGTGAGGTTATAGGAGCTGAAGAGGGTATAATTTACACCAGGAGAAAGCAATATGTATAATTTACACTAGTACAACTTCTTAACCTTGTTTCACCTTTGTTTTCTTTAAGCCTTACAAATGATGAAAATGAGGTTTGAGTCTCTTTCCCCAAAACTTAATTCTCCAATTTTTTTTAAATGAATTTTATGTGTGTATTACTCATCCTTGATATATTTTTTTTAAACAAAGACCGCCCTCACTCCAAGACCTAGAATTTACTCACATAAAGAACTTTCCTTAGTAAGCTCACCTGTAGATTCAAAACGTTAATGTTATACATCCTTGATGTCGACTTGTCCCCATGGTCTAATAATGTCACATTTTTCCAGCTGAAGGAGATTGATGTGTGAGATTTTTAATATGTACCCCTCTATTTTTTTTATTATTTTTTTTATTTTTGATAAGAGACCCTTCATTAATGAGTGAAATTTACAAGAGGAATGTATAATCCATGATGTTTACAAAAGACCTTCCCAATTTGCAATGAGGGAGGTATAACTATAGGAAGTAAAAATATTAGACAGTTTACACCAAGATATAGCTTGGTAAACAACATTGTCGAAAAGTTTTGTGTAGGTCTATGTCGTTTCTGCAAATATTCTCTGATTTCCTTCTTTTCACAGATTCCAAAAGAAAGCCATGATGAGGTTTTTCCATAATAGAGCTTTTGCGTTCTTGAAAGGGTGGTACGTTAAGGCCATATCCAAAAAATCCTTTACCTCCCTAGGAAATGTGAGATTACATCCGAATATATTGAGAATCGTTGTCCAGAAATTTTGAGTGTATGTGCATTCCATAAACAAGTGACTTTGTGATTCGTTTGCTTTCTTGCATAGTGGACACCAATTTGGAGAGAGAGTGATGTAAGACATTCTTTTTTGAAGATTTTCACTTGTGCTGATTTCTTTATGCGCTATTTCCCAAAAGAAGAACTTCACCTTTTTAGGTTGATGTCCTTTCCATATTATCTTTGCTAGTGTGGGATTTATTGCTTCTACTTTTTCCCTCATGTCCATCATCAAGGATTTTATAGAAAATACCCCGTCTGTGCTGGGGAGCCAAGTTAGTGAGTCTTCTTTGTTTGACAATACCACAGGGGCAAGGTCAAGGCTTAATTCGGCCCACTCTGTTGCTTCATTATCCTTTAGATTCCTCCCAAGCTTCAAGTCCCAAAATTTGTTGACAACATTCCACGTTTCTTTAATCGTGGCTTTTTTGTTGTGAGAAAACCTGTACAAAAGTGGATACTTCAAAGCTAGCGTGGTGTTTTCAATCCATGGGTTGGTTCCAAATGATGTGCTTCCCCCATTCCCCACCTTATGGCGAGTTCGGTGGGTGATGAGATTTTGATGTTTCTTTATGTACTTCCAAGGCCCTTTTGTAAAAGATGGAGGGAGGTGA